ACTGGTCCCTGGTGCCCAAAAGGTTGAGGATGCTAATGAACAGATAATAATCAATTCCCTCCCCCCTCCATGATACCCCCTGCTCCTTACCTGAAATTCCCGCCACTTCCCACTTAATGACCTGCATATCTTGGGGTTATGACAGTAATAGCCAATTGCTGTCCTAACACAAGGACTACCTTGTTATCTGCTTTTGCGTCATGTAATAGTGGTTAAAGACGCTGGGTTAGTTGGCTGGAAAGCCGGCAGTGAAGGTTTGAGTCCCGAGCTCCGTGTGACGGGGTGAGCTCCCATCCTCGCCTCAGCTCCTATCAACGTAGCAGTTCGAAAGCGTGCAAATGCGAGTAGATAAATAGGTACCACTTCGGAGGTGAGGAAGCGGCGCTCCGTGACGTCATGATGGCCACCTGACCGGGGAAATGTCTTCGTACAGTGCTGACTCAACGGCCTTGAAACCAAGATGGCTGGAAACGACTAGCAGAGTAAAATCCACAGGGACTCCTTTACCCTTTTACACCGAATAGAGCCAAAGGAATTGTAGCCCGACAGTTGGAGGAGGATGGTTTCACTCCTGTCAGCTAAAATTCAAGCCCAGTTAAGTGTGTAAGTGTGTAAAAAGGTGTCAGATACTACTCATTCTGCTTAATGAGCAGGAGATACAGAAGCTGTTTTGAGCACCAGCGATCCCTTTCTGCCGATGGGCTGGGCAAAACATCTACAATCCAGTACAAGGTGATCCTTGACTTACCACGGTTCATTTAGTGACCATTCAAAGTTACAACGAAATTGCAAAAAGTGACATGACCAAGATCACGTGACCAAAATTCAGATGCTTGGCAACTGGTTCCCATTTATGACTGTCGCAGTGTCCCGGGATCCTGGGATCCCCTTTTGCGACCTTCTGATCGAGCAAAGTCAATGGGGAAGCCAGGTCCACTTAACAACCGTGTTGCTAGCTGAACAATCGCAATGATTCGCTTAACAATCGTGGCAGGAAAGGCTGCGAAGTGGGGCAAAACTCACTTGACAAATGTTTCAGTTAGCAAGATACATTTTGGGCTCAGTTGTGGCCGTAAGTTGAGGACTACCTGTACTCAGGTTTCACGTGTTGTGTGTACGAACCTTGGGCAGAATTGTGGAAGGAGGGACTTGAGGTGCCAGATGTGCTTTGACTGCAGTTGACCAAATCACAGCCTTTCAAGGTGGGCCAGGTCAGGAAACAGACTCCCATTGAAGATCAAGTTCTATTGAGACGATTGTTTCGCTAGTTCTCGACTTTAACAACCATGTCGGGTGAAAATTGGGTAGCTACGCGCCTTTCTGTTTTCACCTTGCCATTAGAGCAGTGGTTCTCAATCTTTTTAATGTCGCGACCCCCAACCGATCGTAAGTTGAGGACTAAACCGGTCGTAAGTCGAGGACTTTCCCTGTCTGGGAGTGCCACACATGCATGGTGCTGCCCCCTGCGCCGGCCGAGGCGTAGCTGGCAAGCAGCAGAGACGGAGCAGGCCGACCACCGGCTGGGCCACCAGCTGGCCCAGCCCAAGGGAGGTAAGGCACCCGCCGGGTCCCACACGCGCCAGCAACTCTCCCTGCACCCACCGGCCTCCCACCTCCCACCCCTGGCCCTCTTTTACTTACATTTTTAGTAGTTGCTCAGCAGGGAGGGGTGGAAGCTTCCAGACAGCTCGCCTTCGCTGCAGACAACTTCCAGCACCGTTTGCAGAAGGGGACTTTTGGCGGGGTCGAACGACCATTTGGGGTCAAACGACCATTTCACGGGGGTCGCCAAACAACGCAGTCCGCCATTTTTTCCCCTTTTCCTTAGCTTGCTACTCCCTTTTATTCTATTGGCTTTTGAAAGCCAATAGAATTAGACTCTATTCAAGAGAGCCTATTCTATTGGCTTTCAAAAGCCAATAGAATAAAAGGGAGTAGCAAGCTAAGGAAAAGGGGAAAAAATGGTGGACTGCGTTGTTTGGCGACCCCCGTGAAATGGTCGTTCGACCCCAAATGGGGTCCCGACCCACAGGTTGAGAACCGCTGCATTAGAGTAAGGGAGGTGGGGGAAGAGGTGTTGCTTTCAACTGGGTTAGAGCAGAGGTCCCCCAACCTTTCGGGCACCAGGGACCGGTTCCGTGGAGAGGGGTTTTTCTGCAGCAGGGAGGGTACGTGGTTTTGTGTGCTGCCTGTATCCTGCGGATGGGGCTTTGTTTGTGCGGCCCAGTTGCTGGCATGTCGTGGCCGGTACTGGTCCACAGATCCGGGGTTGGGGATCCCCGAGTTAGAGAAACGAAACCTCTCCAGTTCTACGGAAGCTTGCCGAGAGTCGGCAGCATGGAAACCTTTCAAGGACATTCTAGCAGGTGTGAAGAAGATAGCAGACGGTTCCCATAACCAAGAAAGCTTGTTTACAGGAGCTACGTGGACATCTGGGAGGGTTTGGCTGGGAAAGTCATTGTTATATACTACGGCAGCGATGGTGAACCTTTTAGAGACGGAGTGCCCAAAAATCAGCCTGCCCCCCTGGCCTGCTCCCGCTCTGCCCCCGGCTCTGCCCGCCTGCAGGGTCTCTCACCACAGGTTACCCAGACAGCCTTGCAGCACCATGGTGGCCACGCCCTCCACCCGCACGTGATAGGGCGTGAGGGCGGAGTCTTACCCCTGCTGCCTGGCTGCCATGTGCTTGGCTGCGCTGCTCCGCGTGGGCTGTGCCCTGGGGAGGCCTCTCCTCCGGGCAGGCTGCTATTGAGGAGGGGGCTACGGGGGGAGGCAGAGCTAGGGCAATGGCGCACGTGCCCACAGAGAGGGCTCCGAGTGCCACCTCGGGCATGTGTGCCATAGGTTCGCCACCACCGTGCTACTGTCTGATGCCTTGGGATTTCAGAGTTAGTTTTACCACGCCTTTACCCGGCCGTGTATTCAATAAAACAGCCACCTTTTCGGAAATGAAAAATAATCCTGGACTTTCTATTTGGATACTCGAACTGAAGGTTGACCACAATTGGGAACCGGGACTTCTGTTGCTAAGGGACTCGTGCCTGATTTTATGAGGGTTTTTTTTTTTTTTGCCACGGTGGTTAAGCGAATCACATGTGGTTAAGTGAATTCGTCTTCCCCGCCCCCCCCCCCCCCCATTGACTTTGTTTGTCAAAAGCCATTTGGGGAGGTCTCAAATGGCGATCACCTGGTTTGGGGGATGCCTGTCAATGCACACCAGCTGCTAAGTGCCCGGATTTTGATCATGTGACCCACAAGGACATTGCGAGAGTTGTAAGCATGAGGACTAGTTGCCAGTCACTTCCTCGACTTACAATCACTCATTTAGCGACCGTTCAAAATGACAACGGCACCGACAAAAGGGACTTAGGACCATTTTTCAGTTACGATCATCACGGTATCAAGGTCACATGATCAAAACTCAGTTGCTTGGCAAGTGGCGTGTACTTAGGATGGTCGCAGTGTCCGGGGAGGGTCACGTGACCCCTTTTCGTGACCTCCTGACAAGCAAAAGTCAGTGCGGAAGCCCGATTCACTTAACAACCGTGTGGCTAACTTAACAGCGGCAGTGTTAACAGCTGTGGGAAGAACTGTCGTAAAATGGGGCAAAACTCACTTCACCGCTGTCTGGCTTAGCAGTGGGAATTTTGCGCTCGATTGTGGCCGTACGTTGAGGACTATCTGCTTATGTGGCCCCAGCAAATCTCTCGTCAATTCTCCCGAGCAACTGACTGAAGGAAAGATGGAATTGAAAGGGCTCTTTCTCACATTCCCAGAAACACCTGTATACTCACAATTTTTTTTCTCAGAACTGAGAGAACCACAATTGGGAAAATTTCAGGGAACGATCTCGGGAGTAACAGGACTTCTTCCTAACTTAGGAATTCTGGTCCCTTCAAGGATTCAGGGCTGAAAAAAAAGGTCATTATATGGAACTCCCTAAGGGCCTCTAGGCAACCAGGATGACTAGCATCTCTACAGAAGAGCTGGCGGGTTGTGTGAACATGCCCTCCGATTGTCAATCCTCTTCTGCAGGACTGTCATGACTTGGAGAATAACAGAGCTGGAAGGGACCTTGAAGGTCTTCTAGTCCACCCCCTCAAGCAGGAGACCCTATACCATTTCAGACAAATGGCTGTTCAGTCTCTTCTTAAAAACTTCCAGTGTTGGAGCATTCACCGCTTCTGGAGGCAGGTGGTTCCACTGATTAATTGTTCTGTCAGGAAGTTTCTCCTTAGTTCTAGGTTGCTTCTCTCCTTGATTGGTTTCTCCATCCGTTGCTTCTTGTCCTGCCTTCAGGCGCTTTGGAGAATAGCTTGACTCTGTCTTCTTTGGAGCAGCCCCTGAGATATTAAAATCCTGCTATCATGTCCTGCAACATATATTTTATATGTTTTAGCCTCCTTTTAATTTCCTAGTTTTTACAGGCTGGTTTTAATGCTAATATTTGGAGCAGTTTATAACAATAATAAAAATGATAAAGTTGGAAGGGACGTTGGAAATCATCTAGATTCTAGTCCATCCCCCTGCTCAGGCAGGAAACCCTACATCATTTCAGACAAATAGCTGTCCAGTCTCTTCTTAAAAACTTCCAGTGTTGGAGCATTCATCGCTTCTGGAGGCAGGCTGTTCCACTGGTTAATTGTTCTCACTGTCAGGAAGTTTCTCCTTAGTTCTAAGTTGCTTCTTTCCTTGGTTAGTTTCCATCCGCTGCTTCTTGTCCTGCCTTCAGGTGCTTTGGAGAAGAGCTTGACTCCCTCTTCTTTAGGGCAGCCCCTGAGATATTGGAAGGCTGCTATCCTGTCTCCCCTAGTTCTTGTAAATAAGCAGACAGACCTTGGCCCTGCAGGGACCACTCGCTGGCCAAGTGTCCTCTTTGCCAGGAAGACACACCAGGCTGAGGACAAAAGGCCGGAAACACTCTCCCCCCCCCCCCCCGAAGATCCAATCGTTGCGTGCTATTTACGTGGAATTAAAAACCTGAGCAAACCTGGAGAACCTTTTTTGCTTTTCAATCAGAAATTTATTTTTAATTACATTATGTAAGAATATTGCAGTCTATTTTACAAGTTCAAGGAACAGGACGGTGGTGGAAGAAATGAGTCTGGACCAGTTAAACCGAGAGGAGAGTCGGAATTAAAAAACGAAAGAGAGAAAGAGAGAGAGAGAGAGAGAGAGAGAGAGAGAGAGAGAGAGAGAGAGAAAGAGAGACGGGGAGCCGAGCAAACGAAACGTAAAACAAATAAAGAGCCGATGAAGAAACTGAGCTGACAGACAGTCTGCCAAGAAGGCAACTAAGGACGGAGACATATAAAGACCTAAAAAAAAAAATACCCCCCAAAACCCATTTACAGTCTCGATCCTTCTTGCTCACTGGGGTGCCCCCCCCAAAAGTCCTTCCTCCCTTACTCAATATCCGAGCAGGGGTGGCTACGAGGTGCTGCAGCGTTGCCTTGTCCCGCAACAGGCGGGAAGAGAGGGCACGAGTCTTGCCAAGCTATAGATCTCCTAAAGGGTCTTCTGTCCACTTGGGGGGGGGGGGGAGAGAAACTGGGGATTCGGCCCCCGGGAATCAGGGGAGGGGGGAGGAACTAAGCCAGGCCTGAGCCCTGCCCGGGCCGGCTCTCAAACGTAGAACAGTCTTACTTTGGAAGTGCTGACAAGGAGGTCGTCATCGAAAAACTTCGTTTCTATGATCACGTTCCCGCTGCGGGGGGGGGGAGGGGGGGGAAGAAGGCAGAAGGAAAAGAACGGGGAAAGAGAGAAAGAAAAAAAAAATTAAATGGCAGAAGAGAGACAGTTAAGGCTTTAAAAACTGGGCAGGGTACCCTGAGTCTAGGGCTCTGGAGGTGCCCCGTTTGGGAGCTTTTACTGTTATTTATTTGATTTTTTTTTTTTTTTTTGTACTGCCTTTATGACTTTATTTGGTAACTCAAGGTGGCGAACGTACCTAATAAGCCTTCCTTGTCTTGTTCTCACCTTCACAGCAACCCTGTGAGGTGGGTTGGACTGAGAGAGAATGACTGGCCCAAAGTCACCCAGCCGGCTTTCGTGCCTAAGGCAGGACTAGAACTCACAGCCACCCTGCAGCTGGTCTAAAGTCACTCAGTTGGCTTTCATGTTTAAGGCGGGACTAGAACTCACAGCCACCTGGTGATTGGCTCAAAGTCATCCAGCCGGCTTTCATTCCTCAGGGAGGACTAGAACTTACAGCCACCTGGTGATTGGTCCAAAGTCACCCAGCCGGCTTTCATGCCCAAGGTAGGACTAGAACTCACAGCCACCCTGCGATTGGTCCAAAGTCACCCAGCCGGCTGTCATGCCTAAGGCAGAACTAGAACACACAGCCACTCTCCAACTGGCCCAAAGTCACCCAGCTGGCTTTCATGTTTAAGGCGGGACTAGAACTCAGAGCCACCTGGTAATTGGCCCAAAGTCACCCAGCCAGCTTTCATTCCTAAGGAGGAATTAGAACTCACAGCCACCCTCCAATTGGCTCAAAGTCACCCAGCCGGCTTTCGTGCCTAAGGCAGAACTAGAACTCACAGTCACCCTGCAATTGGTCCAAAGTCACCCAGCCGGCTTTCGTGCCTAAGGCAGAACTAGAACTCACAGTCACCCTGCGATTGGTCCAAAGTCACTCAGTTGGCTTTCAGGCCTAAGGAGGAACTAGAACTCACAGCCACTTGGTGATTGGTCCAAAGTCATCCAGCCAGCATTCATGCCTAAGGCAGGACTAGAACTCACCGTCTCCTGGTTTCTAGGCCGGCACCTTAACCACTACATCAACTGGTTAATTATTTCAGTTGCTGCCTATATTTATTGTGCAGTTTTTAAAAATTGTTTTAAATGTTTTTTTTAATTGTATTAATTGTTTGTATAGCTTTAGCACTGTCAGTTGCCCTGAATCCTTGGTTGAGATGGGTGGCTATAGAAACTGAATGAATGAATGAATGAATGAATGAATGAATGAATGAATAGCCCAAAGGACATCCTGGAGTCAGGATTGTGGAACTTGGTCAGTCAGGCTCCAAATGATAAAAGAATTTCTCCTTTCCAGGCTGAAGGAGCCAACCCCAAATATACAAAGTGAATACAGTAAAGTAAAAAAACAAAAAACAAAAAACGAGGCTGTAATTTGATTTTGCATTTTACTGCACTGCAAAATGTTGGAAGTCCATGATTTTTCTTCCCCCTTATCCCTCGCTCTCCCTCTCTCTCTTTCCATTTGCCTATTCTCTTTATTTTAATTTATATTTTTGATATACGATAACCTCAATAAAAATGAAAACAAAAAAGAAATCAGGGGAAGCTCACCTGTGAATTCAAGCTGAAAAGCTTTGCAACTCCCTAACTCAGGGGTAGGCAACCTTGGCTCTTTTATGACTCGTGGACTTCAACTCCCAGAATTCCTGAGCCAGCATGGGGGAACTATGGCCCCTTCATGACTCGCGGAGTTCAACTCCCAGAATTCCTCAGCCAGCGTGGGGGAACTATGGCCCCTTCGTGACTCGCGGACTTCAACTCCCAGAATCCCTCAGCCAGCATGGCTCAGCTTGGAAACTTCTCCCTTTCCCCTCAGCATGGCTGGCTCAGGAATTCTGGGAGTTGAAGTCCGCGAGTCATGAAGGGGCTATAGTTCCCCCATGCTGGCTCCGGAATTCTGGGAGTTGAAGTCCTCAAGTCACAAAAGGGCCATCGTTTCCCACCTTTGTCTTAGCCCAGAGGTAGGCAACCTTGGCCCTTTTATGACTCGTGGACTTCAACTCCCAGAATTCCTGAGCCAGCCATGCTGAGGGGAAAGGGAGGTGTTTCCAAACTGAGCCATGTTGGCTCAGGAATTCTGGGAGTTGAAGTCCACGAGTCATAAAAGGGCCAAGGTTGCCTACCCCTGGCCTAACCCCCTAACAAAATGACAACGATAACAAAATAATAATCGGAAAATCAAGGATTGCCCAGGGAAAGATACCTTCACCACCGATTTGAGCCAGGGAATTCAGCTCGGAGCTGACTTCAGCTAAAGAACAGACACGCCGACGTCTCAACTGGGATCCTCTCTGCCCTCTCCCCGTTTCTGCCTTCTCCATGTGCTGGGAAGTCCCTGATTTTTGACCTGGGGTTGTGTGACGGAGAAGAGGAAAACGCAACCCACTCACGTGAGAACATTAGCAGGCATCATCTGCGACTCTGGAGCGGCTTCTATCAACGACTGCCAGGTGTTGGTGGAGTTTGGGATGACAAAGCCAAACTCAAAAAACCATTCTGCAGAGAGAGGAAGCAGGTGAGTGCCATAAAAAAAAACAACCAAATTACTCCCCCCCTTTTTACACCTGTTGTCCGGCTAAGTAACGGCCTGGAAGCTGCCCACCCCTTGCACCCCAGTCTCATATATGGGCAGGATTTGAAATGATCTCGAGGAGTGTTTTTCAACCACGACAAGTTTAAGATGTGTGGACTTCAGCTCCCAGAATTCCCCAGCCACCATAGGTGGCTGGGGAATTCTGGGAGCTGAAGTCCACACGTCTTAAAAGGTGCTAAGTGTCAACACCGCTAATATTGAATATTCTTGCTTTGGCAAAATATGCAGAACTGCCTGGTATTTTTAGAGTTCATTCAGATGACAGAGAAAGGGGAGGGGAAATAACAAAAGCCCTGGAAAAGGAAGGGAAGTGAATCTCTGCCCTCTGGGCTAATTGGAAGATGTGACTTGTCACTGCAAGATAAGGGAGGGCTTTAGCAAGAAAAGTTAGATGCCAGCGAGAGGAAGTCAGATTCTGGCATAAGCCTCCATGATGTGCCGTCAATTTGTAACACTGGTAATAAAGGCTTTGGGATAAACAAGTCTGGAAGTTGTGTTAAGTGTTTCGTTAGTCGGAACCATGAATGACATCAAGGTTGGGAAACCCTGCGACAGAGGTACAATCGTTAATTGTTCCATAAACCAAGTTTGATGGTAGTCTTCCATCTTTCAGCTCCAAAGAACAATTCAGACGTGCTGTCCACACGGGGCAGGATTTGAAGGGATCTAGACCAGGGTTTCTCAACCTCTGCAAGCTTAAGATAACAATCACACAGTTGGAAGGGACCTCGGGGGTCTTCTAGTCCAGGGGTCCCCAAACCCCCGGTCCGTGGACTGGTAGCGGGCAGCGGCATGCCAGCAACCGGTCCGCGCAAACAAGCCAAGATCCATCTGCGGGATGCAGGCAGCACGCAAAACCACGCACCCTCCGGTCCGTGGAAAAACCTGTCCACGGAACCGGTCCCTGGTGGCCAAAAGGCTGGGGGGGGGGCTCTGCAATATAGGGTTGTATTGTACATAAATACTCCTATATTGTATTGTCCACATTGCATATGTATATGTATTATGTATGTATATGTATATGTGAAATGTGGACAATGTACATATCACACTTTGGTTAAACTCAATTATTTAAACTACAGTTGTACAGCGCTGATTGCATGTTCTCTGTAAATGCCATACGCTAAATAAGAAATAATAATAAACCTTATAGAATGACGTCTGATAGGGTGGAAAAAGGTTAATTCTTTCTGCTGCCTCACTCTCTCTCCTTCTCTCCCTCCCTCCTTCTCTTTCCCTCCCCTCCCCCCTCTCCTTCCTTCTCTCCCTCTCCCTCCTCTTTCCCTCTCCCTCCCTCCTCTCCCTCCCCTTCTCTCCCCGTCCTTCCTTCTCTCTCCCTTTCCTTCCTTCTTTCTCTCTCCCTCCCTCCCTCCTCTTTCCCTCCCTCCCTCTCTCACTCCCTCCCCCTTCCCTCCTCTCTACCCCCTCCTTCCTTCTCTCTTTCTCTCTGCCTTCCTTCTTCTCTCCCTCCCTCCTTCTCTCGCTCCCTCCACCTTCTCTCCCCCCTCCTTCCTTCTCTCCCTCTCTCCCTTTCCCTCCCCTTCTCCTTCCTTCTCTCTCCCTCCCTCCTTCTCTCACTCCCTCCCTCCTCTCCCTCCCTCCTTCTCTCGCTCCCTCCACCTTCTCTCCCCCCTCCTTCCTTCTCTCCCTCTCTCCCTCTCCCTCCCCTTCTCCTTCCTTCTCTCTCCCTCCCTCCTTCTCTCCCTCCCTCCCTCCCTCCTCTCCCTCCCTCCTTCTCTCGCTCCCTCCACCTTCTCTCTCCCCCCTCCTTCCTTCTCTCCCTCTCTCCCTCTCCCTCCCCTTCTCCTTCCTTCTCTCTCCCTCCCTCCTTCTCTCACTCCCTCCCTCCCTCCTCTCCCTCCCTCCTTCTCTCGCTCCCTCCACCTTCTCTCCCCCCTCCTCTCCCTCTCTCCCTCTCCCTCCCCTTCTCCTTCCTTCTCTCTCCCTCCCTCCTTCTCTCACTCCCTCCCTCCCTCCTCTCCCTCCCTCCTTCTCTCGCTCCCTCCACCTTCTCTCCCCCCTCCTCTCCCTCTCTCCCTCTCCCTCCCCTTCTCCTTCCTTCTCTCTCCCCCTTCCTTTTCTCTCTCCCTCCCTCCTTCTCTCACTCCCTCCCCTCCTTTTCTCTCCCCCCTCTCCTTCCTTCTCTCTTTCCCCCTTTCCTTCCTTCTCTCCCTCCCTTCTTCTTTCCCTTTCTCTCCCTCCCTCCCTCCCTCTCCCCCTCTCCTTCCTTCTTTCTCTCTCCCTCCCTTCTTCCTCCCTCCTTCTCTCGCTCTCCCCTCCACCTTCTCTCTCCCCCCTCCTTCCTTCTCTCCCTCCCCCTCCCCTTCTCCTTCCTTCTCTCTCCCCTTCCTTCCTTCTTTCTCCCTCCCTCCTCTTCCTCCCTTCTTCTCTCCCTCCCTCCCCCTCCCCTTCTCTCTCCCCCTCTCCTTCCTTCTCTTTTTCTCTCCCTCCCTTCTTCTTTCCCTCCCTTCTTCTCTCCGTCCCTCTCCCTCCCTTCTCTCTCCCCTCTCCTTCTTTCTCTTCTCTCTCCCTCCTTCTTTCCCTCCCTCCCTCCCTCCCTTCCTCCCCCTCCTCCTCCTCCTCCTCCTTCTCTCTCTCTCTCCCTCTCTCCCTCCCTCCCTCCCTCCCTCCCTCCTCCTCCTTGGTGAAAACCCAGCCCAGGTCTCCCTAGAGGAGTAAAACAGCACCTTCTAGACATTGTCCCTTGAAATAAACTTTCTGTTCCAGGCGGAATTTTTCCATCTGCTCCGTGGAGGAAAAATTCAGCTCCCGAGACACAGCTTTGCATTTCAGAATTTTCTTAGGAACTCGAGCTGAGGAAGAGAGAAAGGAGAGGGGTGGGGGTGGTCGAAATTAAGATTCCAAAGTATAAGACAAGGCCTGCTGTGGCCCAAGGCGCTCAGGTGTCGGCGTAAGCCAAGAGGCACTTCCCAAAATTAAATAGAAATGCAGGTGGCCACGCCAGGCAGGCAGGCATGCTGTGTGACGCCACTGCTCCTCCGCTCTCCTGGGCAAGGAAGAAAACCAACAGGGTGTAAGGTGACCCCGTGGAGCCAGATTTAAAAAGGCTAAAATAATTATGGTAGAGACGCACGACAGCCGTTCCCTGCACTTTTCGAACGCCTGTGTTTGTGGGTGGAGAAGAATTACACAGCTTGGAGACCTGCGATTAAGGCTTTCATTCCATGTCAAAGGCAAAGGGTTTTGTTTTTTTTTTCTTCCAACAAGGGGGTTATCAGCTGTTGAAAGCAACAGACGGGAATCCCTCCCCTTCCGGGCCAGCAAAATGCAGGGGTGCCTGCCGAGTGGGTCAAAAAAGTCAAGATGGCAGCCACAACTGCCCCCTTAGAGACGTGGCGCTTTTAATGGGGATCGCAATGTATATTTTAACTGCTGGCTGGGCAAAGAGACTTAAAATATCTTGTCGGGGGTGGCAAAGTGTATCAGGCCCCACTATCGTGCTGAGCTTGTCAGCCGGAAAGCTGACAGCCCGGATTTGAGACCTGAACGCCTTGAGATGGGGTGAGCTCCCGTTCCTTGCTCCACCTAGCAGTCCGAAAGCATGCAAATGCGAGTAGATAAATAGGTACTACTTCGGTGGGAAGGTAACGGTGTTCTTCTGGACGCCTCAGCGTATAGCATCCTGGCCACACAACCGTGGAAATGAATGGATAATGCTGGCCAGGAAATGGAGATGAGACCACTCCCTAGATTCGGACATGACTTTCCAGGGAAACCTTTACATTTATTTATAGTAGAAATAGGGGAGGCACGATAGCAGTGTCCCAGTATCTGAGGGGCTGCCACACGGCAGAGGGGGCCAGGTTGTTCACCAAAGCACCAGAGGGCAGGACGAGAAACAATGGATGGAAACTGATCAAGGAGAGAAGCAACCTGTCAGAATCCAATTATATTTCATCTTTAAATTATCAAATATAGAAACTCCCAATTCTGCCTTCTCTGGATTCTGCCATAAGAGGGAGAGAAGGGGAAGAACAAAGGGGCTTTATGGCCCTCACTTCCTTCTTTACACTTCAAAGAGCTGAATGCTGAATGTGTGTTTATTGTAACCTCGAAGCGTTAACATACCAAAGGAGGGAAGTTGCCTTTCATGTAGTTATCTGAAGTCTCCATCCAGACGGAAGAAAGAAGAAAGGGAGTGGAATTGTGATACTTGAAACTATCACTGGAAGGGGGGTGGATTGGGTGGGACTACTGGGGAACCCCTTAAAACCTTGAATGGGAGAGCTTGGACCCCAAGTCCTGTCTAGCATGCCTACAACCATTTTCTCTTAATAAAGGATTCCTGTTGGAAGAATTATTCCAAGAGTTCTGTCTTCTTAAGATGCAAAGTGGGGTGGGTCCTTACACAACCTGGAATTAAGGAGAAACTTCCTGACGGTGAAGACAATCAACCAGTGGAACAGCTTGCCACCAGAAATCGTGGGCGCTCCATCCCTGGAGATTTTTAAGAGACTGGACATTCACTTGTCTGAGATGGTGTAGGTTCTCTTGCTTGAGCGGGGGGGCTGGATTAGAAGACCTCCAAGGTCCCCTTGCAGCCTTAAGGGGTTAGAACAGGGATGAGCAACCATGGCGACTTTGCAAGCTGTGGACTTCAACTCCCAGAGTTCCTGAGCCAACCGTGCTGCTTGGAGAAGTCTAGGAGTTAAAGTCTACAGACCTTAAAGGGAATTCTGAGAGTTGAAGTCCACGCATCTTAAAATTATTGAGAAACCCTGCCCCAGAAACTCCCAATAGCCCCATGTTACCTTCGTGCTCTACTCCGGGGACCGAGAGATCTTCCGTTCCTTGCCAGAGAATCTTCCCACTTTCTGCATCCCGGAGATTCATCCAATTTCTGTTTGTATGACAATTAAGGAGGAAAACATAAAAGGGAAACACATTTCTGAACTGTAACCTTACTGTCACATTCTTCCACAGGGCAGGGCTCTTCAAACTTGGCCCTTTTAGGACTTATGGACTTCAACTCCCAGAATTCTGAGAGTTGAAGTCCACAAGTCCTAAAAGGGCCAAGTTTGAAGAGCCCTGTCTTAAATCTAACAAACAAAATGGAGGCTGGCTGAGGAATTCTGGGAGTTGAAGTCCACCAGTCATCAAAGGGCCAAGTTTGAAGACCCCTGCCTTAAATCTAACAAACAAAATGGAGGCTGGCTGAGGAATTCTGGGAGTTGAAGTCCACGAGTCCTAAAAGGGCCAAGTATGAAGACCCCTGTCTTAAATCTAACAAACAAAATGGAGGCTGGCTGAGGAATTCTGGGAGTTGAAGTCCACGAGTCCTAAAAGGGCCAAGTATGAAGACCCCTGTCTTAAATCTAACAAACAAAATGGAGGCTGGCTGAGGAATTCTGGGAGTTGAAGTCCACGAGTCCTAAAAGGGCCACGTTTGAAGACCCCTGTCCCAGGGCATAAAAAAGAGGATGTGTCAGAGTGAATTGAGGCAAAGTGGTTTCAATTTACGATGGCTAAGAAGGTGCCTTGAACCCAGAAAAACCCATCGGCAATATTAAGCAAATCCAGCCCAGCTCTCCGGTGCAAGCACAAACAGCTTCCTGGGGTTCTAAGAACGAATCCCCTTTCCCCTCCAAACTGAATGCTCTTAGCACCTATTGGCCATCCAGCGATCAGGAAGGATTAAAAAGCAAAACCAGGTTGTGATATTCCGATTCATTAAGCTGGAAAGTATAAAATTTGTCAGGGAATCACTCAGCGGGTGTCCGAATGGAGTCAGAGGTGCTGACACAAACCAGTTTTATATAAATAAGTATATTTACAGTAAATAAGATAAGCAAACCGGAGCGGAAAGCAAGGAAACTTTACTCTCACACAGCCAATCTAAGTTATGATTCCCTCACGCGATGTTCATTGATGCTAATTAACCAATTAGCAACAACTGTGTGTTCTTACTCATTGTCCGACTCTCCACTGCTCCAGCTCTTAAAATTTAAATATCTTAATAAAATGACTTCCTGTAATAACATTTTGACCTGTGGCAGAATCAAATCAGCAAAAAAATATTTTTAGAGAAAGTTTGGCATCCTGCAATCTGTTAAAAATCACCACGGCAATCCATCCGTCCCAATTCAGAATTAAATAGCAACGGATCCACATCTCTCCAACTGGGAGTGTCGGACCCCAAACCTGAGGTAAAATAAGGGCACAGGTGTGGCTGTATGGCAATTAGATGTGCTTGCCAGAGAAAGGAAGGGGGAAGCTTGGAAGATGGAGGCTAACAGAATAACAGAGTTGGAAGGGACCTTGGAGGTCTTCTAGTCCAACCCCCTGCTCAAGCAGGAGACTCTATCCCATTTCAGACAAATGGCTGTCCAGTCCCTTCTTAAAAACCTCCAGTGACGGAGCACCCACCACTTCTGGAGGGAAGCTGTTCCACTGGTTGATTGTTCCCACTGTCAGCAAATTTCTCCGAAGTTCTAGGCTTGATCTCTCCTTGCTTAGAATAGAATAGAATAGAATAGAATAGAATAAGGAATAGAATAGAATAGAATAGAATAGAATAAGGAATAGAATAGAATAAGGAATAGAATAGAATTAGAATTAGAATAGAATAATAGAATAAAGAATAGAATAGAATAATAGAATAAGGAATAGAGTAGAATAGAATAAGAATAGAATAGAATAAGGAATAGAACAGAATAGAATAGAATAAGGAATAAAATAGTATAGAATAGAATAATAGAATAGAGAAAAGGAATAGAATAGAAAAGAAAAGAATTAGAATAGAATAGAATAGAACAGAATAGAATAAGGAATAGAATAGAATAAAATAGAATAGAATAGGTCTTACATTTAGGCAGGAAAAACCAAAGGTACAAGTACAGATTAGGTGAAACCTGGCTTAAAAACAGTAACTGTGAGGGACCTTGGAATCCTGGTGGACGATCACTTGACTATGAGCCAGCCGTGTGCAGCAGCAGCCAAAAAAGCTAATACAATCCTGGGTTGTATAAACAGAGGCATAGAGTCAAGATCACGTGAACTATTAGTACCTCTTTGTAAAACCCTAGTAAGGCCCCACCTGGAATACTGCAGCCAATTTTGGTCACCATATCACAAAAAAGACGTCGAGAGTTTGGAAAAAATTCAGAGAAGAGCAACTAAGATGATCCAAGGCCTGGAGACCAAAACATACAAAGAACGGCTGCGGGACTTGGGTTTGGCCCGTCTAAAGAAAAGAAGAAATAGGAGAGACATGATAGCAGTGTTCCAGTATCTGAGGGGCTGCCACAAGGCAGAGGGGGTCAGGTTGTTCCCCAAAGCACCTGAAGGCAGGACAAGAAACAATGGTTGGAAATTGATCAAAGAGAGAAGCAACCTGGAATTAAGGACAAACTTCCTGACAGTGAGGACAATCAGCCAGTGGAACAGCTTTGCTTCCAAAAATCGTGGGCGCTCCATCATTGGAGATTTTTTAAGAAGAGATTAGACCAGTGGTTCTCAACCTGTGGGTCGGAACCCCATTTGGGGCCGAACGATCATTTCACGGGGGTCGCCAAACAAGGCTATCTGCCACTTTTTCCCCCTTTTCTTTGGCCACGCCCCTGGCACCCGGTGATGTATAAGTGGTTGGGGGTCACCACAACATGGGGAACTGTATTATGGGGTCGCGGCATTGGAAAGGTTGAGAACCACTGGACTAGACAATCACCTGAGATGGTGTAGGTTCTCCCGCTTGAGCAGGAGGCTGGACTAGAAGACCTCCAAGGTCCCTTCCAGCTCTATTCTATTCTAATAACAGACATTTTGTGTTCAATTGTGGTCGTTTAAGTCGAGAACTACCTGTACTGAGGTGGGGGGGGGGAAGAGGAAGGAAACATTTTGCTAGCCTTCTCTGAGCTAATGCCACTCAGATGTGCTGGAATGAATCTCCCGAAACATATGGAAGTTGAACGTGTTAAGAGGGTATCCAACGGGATGGGTAGAAGGTGGCAGTGAAGCATTAGAAGACAAAAGGAACTTGAGTGGCCGAGAGAGGCAACAATGGCTGCAAGCATGCGATTTCAGGGGGGGGTTTTTTTCCAAACCCATTAATTCCGCTTTAATCGCTCATTTCCTTCCATTCTCCGTCGGGAACAAAAGGAGGGTACGTGGGATCCTGACGTAAAAACGTCCAAAGCTGTTAAGTTTCTCATCTGGAGGGAGGACAGAGGGACATGTGCAGCGGGCAGAACGTTCCTTACAAAGCAGGCTGCATTTTAATTTTTATTGATTCGCATCATGCCTTTATTATTATTTTTTTACCCACAAGATAACTCCAGGCGGGGAGTTAAGTTGTGCATCGTCAGCCTTCCTGTTTTAGCTCGCCCAAATGGCGAGACAGCTGAGATAGGCAAACATTGGAGGCAGGTCTATCTTATGAGGTGCTCCGGTGATTCCCAAAATTTTGAACCTGCTTTTCCAAACTCAAAGACACCAGGATGGGAAAGGCTAGCCCAGGGGTCTTCAGACCTGGCCCTTTGATGACTGGTGGACTTCAACTCCCAGAATTCCTCAGCCAGCCTCCATTTTGTTTTAAGACGGGTCTTCAAACTTGTCCCTTTTATGACTTGTGGACTTCAACTCCCAGAATTCCTCAGCCAGCCTCCATTTTGTTTTAAGACGGGTCTTCAAACTTGGCCCTTTTATGATATGTGGACTTCAACTCCCAGAATTCCTCAGTCAGGCACGCTGCCTGGCTGAGGAATTCTGGGAGTTGAAGTCCACCAGTCATCAAAGGGCCAAGTTTGAAGACCCCTGGGCTATACTACAACAATGTATCTCCACCTTAACCACTTTGAAAAGGGTGGACTTCGACTTCCAGAATTCCCCAGCCAGCAATGCTGCCTGGAGAAATTCTGGGAGTTGAAGTCCACTCTCGTTAAGGTGGGAAAACACTGAGCTACAGTACTAGTTTTCAATTTACGACTACAATTCAGCCTAAAATTTCCATGGTTAAGCAAAACCACTGTTACGTTTTTAAGTTTTTAAGAAGAGATTAGACAACCGCTTGTCTGGAATGGTATAGGCCAGGGTTTCCTGCCTGAGCAGGGGGTTGGACTAGAAGACCTCCAAGGTCCCTTCAACGTTATTATTATTGTTGTTGTTGTTATTATTATTACTTCCCAGGGACACCCGGCTGCCAAATAACACAGGACAAGGATAAAAACTTCCCAGCAACCTGATCAATTATACAATTGTACTATAATTATCATCAACATCATCATCATGTGACTTTTGCCTCATTTGACAACCTTTCATGACACAGTTGGCTGGTGGTTGGCTCAAAATCACCCAGTTGGCTTTTGTGCCTAAGGCGGAACTAGAACTCCCCGTCTCCTGGTGATTGGCCCAAAGTCGCCCAGTTGGCTTTTGTGCCTAAGGCGGAACTAGAACTCCCCGTCTCCTGATGATTGGCCAAAGTCACCCAGTTGGCTTTTGTGCCTAAGGCGGAACTAGAACTCCCCATTTCCTGGTGATTGGCCCAAAATCACCTAGTTGGCTTTTGTCCTTAAGGCGGAACTAGAACTCACAGACTCCTGGTGGTTGGCTCAAAATTACCCCGTTGGCTTTTGTGCGTAAGGCGGAACTAGAACTCCCCATCTCCTGGTGGTTGGCCCAAAGTCATCCCGTTGGCTTTTGTGCATAAGGCGAAACTAGAACTCACAGACTCCTGGCTTCTAGATTTGTGTCTTAACCCCAGCCTAGACCAAACTGGATCTCTATCAAGTTAACAGCCTCCCTGAAAATCCCTTTCTTGGTTCATTGCTTTCCTTTCGCGTCTTCAACCCGCATCTTCCCAGCAACCCTTGAGTTAAGTGGCACAAACAGCAACCTATTCAGGCT